AGAATTGACAGTAGCCTATTTTGTTATTTCCTGCTTTTTGTCTGTACATTTGACAGCTTTGCTGCCTTGTTTAATTTTCTAATAATTTTGATATTGTTATTATATCATATATATCACTTGTAGTACAAGTGTATAGCTTGTAGTTGCAAACAAATGTAACATAATAATTATATCATATTAGAGCTCAGTCAGCTAATTTTTTCTTTTTCTCTTTATTTTTCCTCTTATTATTATATCTATGAAACTAAAAGTAATATTTATTGTGCAATTTCAGAGACAAAAATCTCCATTACGTGCCTTAGCTACCGAAACTCATTCCTACTCATTGCTACCAATAAGTGAAATAAAGGCAACAGGGGCGACAGCAGTTGATGCCAATGACCAAAAGATGGCAGCACCTGATGACCATAAAGATAAGCTTATAAAACAGGAAGATCATGAAGGTAATAAAAAAAAAACACTTTTGTCAAAAATGTAGGAGGTTTCTTATTATTTCATTAAAAAAAAGGAACACGTTTTGTTTTGATTAGAAAGTACTGCAAACAGCACATGTGCAGGGTGGATACCTATCAGTTTTAAGATGCAGATGATATTATTAACAGATATATATATATATATCAGTGTGGGTAAATAGGTGCCGATAGTAACCTTTCTCTCCCCAACACATGCTATCACCCTGAATATCATAGTTCTGAAAGTGAGTTTTTACCCAGCTCAGTTTCTCTGTTACCCTAAGTTTTATTGTATTGACTATCTTGGACCCCCCTCCCCCCTTTAAATGTTTTCCTTCATTTATATATGTTTACATTTTGGAAATAGTATACTAGATCTGCATTAAATGGAAACATGTTTACAATAGACACAGACATTTAAGTGTGTATGCAACAACATCAGCTTTCTAATTAATTAATTTCAAAACTGAAATATTTATACATTCTGGACTCGCTCTCATTAGGATTTTTGATAGGAAAAAAAGCTAGCAAAAATAAACAAAAATATTGACTTAAATTTAGTATTGCAGGGTAACTAGTAGATTATTAATTTCACTGTAAAGTAAGAAATAATCAATTTTCCAGGCTACACCAACCCGGTGTCTGAAGAGCCTGCTGAGGACAGAAGTATGGATAAGAAAGCTTCGGAGGGCGCAGAGGTCGACGCCATGTTGGAGGTCAGTGACATGGGCACACAGACATTTCTGTGTCGCAGGACGGGAGTGGACATGGCAGAAGTGACAGTGAAGCTGAAACAGCATGGGAACCAAGAAGGCCAAGGTGAAGGTCAGATAAAGGTCTCCTCAAGGTCAAGTTGAAGGTCATTTCAGGGAGGTCAGGTAGTGACAGGGCATTGGATGTGGTTGAAATGGTTGTCTGTCTAGACTATTTTGCTGTCTATTTGCAGACTGGGAAATCATTTCTGTTATGAGACAAAGTCACTATAAGGAGCCAAAAGGCCACGTTAGAGGATAGATAGTATATGGTTTCAGATGAAGTTCTGTTTAGTGTTTGTTTTCCAATGACAATTACCTGGTCTTGGTAGTGCATGGTCATTGTGTGAAAATTATATAAGCAGATGAAAATTTTGTAGTTTTTTAATTAAAGTCATAATAACTCTTCGTTTTGGCCAAAAATTGGATTTTCCTGGAAAAAACAGCAATTTTCCCGTACTTACCAATGGTCAACGACCCCATTCCTGCATTCAAAGTTATCCAGGGTTTTTTTCCTAAACGTACGGTTTTTTGTTAAAATCTCTTAAGAGATTTTAACTGACGGAGCTCTCTCTGACTTTGCAAAGTCACTGGTGACCTACTTAAAACTGCGTGAAAAGCAGACAACAACAACACTATATAAGATTCATGAGATATATTCGTCTTTTTGTTAAAAATGCATTTATATCCACAATGTGTGCCATTCTGGGCTTTTTGTTATCCGACGCACTGTACAAAAACTCGCAACTTACGTCTGCGTCCGCATTAATGCGTTTGGCGCCATGTTATTTTGGTCTCGAATGAACGCGAGAATCCGCGTGACACCATTACGTCATTAGCAACGAGTGCCTTGATGACTGGGAAGAAAGGCTCGAAAGCCCTATTGACAAGTACAGATTTTAGTTTTACTACAATAACGGCCGTTTCAGTGGTAAAATACAATAGAATATATTTCCATGCATTGTTTACAATGTATTTCATGCGGAATTTTGGATCTCAAAGGAAGAGTTATTATTGCTTTAAGCAGTTTTGAATTGAACGTAGTGGTTTTAGTATATAATAATGTTAATAGATGGCGCTGAGAACTAATCAAAAGCATATCAAACATTTAAAAAGCAAATTATTCTATCATAATTATTGTTGTATGCTCTCAGGTTGGAATTTAATGAGTTCAGACTTTAACAGAACCTCCACATTCACTTTACAGAAGAAGACATTGACCTGTCACCAGAAGTAAAACTAGGTGACCTTGACCCTACGACCCAGACCAGTGAAGATGGATTGCAACCACCTGGGGACTCTCCTCAGCGCGTTAGACGCTTGAGCAGTCAACCAAAGCCAGGGGTCGATCACTGCGCAGCTGAGACCCAGACAGAGGCAAGAATATTCTGCCGCTGGTACATGTGTCCCCCGGGGTATGAGACACCCGATTTGGACCTCCCGCCTTTGGTGCCTGCAGTGAACATCATCGATGAAAATGGAATTTCTACCAGTCCCGTTGAAGAGCCAGCTTCCCCGACAACACAGCCATCCTATTGCTGCCTCCGAAGCAAGAAGAGTGCACCATTTCCCAAAGATCCCACCAGCCACTATGGTGACAGTGTACAGGAACGCTCAGCAAATGTTATCTCTCGCGACATGATCGTGGAGTTTCCAAAATCGGCACCAGCCAGTGGAACAACAACACCTAATGGTCATTTGTCTCGGACTCATTCACTGGATAGCTGTATGCGAAGAAGAATCCGTCTGAAGGAAGTGGCGCCATCTCATGTTAGTCTCTCTGATGCACTGGGTAAGTCATAGAGTTTGAGTAAGTATGTTTTTTAGACTGCTAGTTTATTTTTGGATTAAGTTTGCCAAAGAACGTCGGCTAAAAAACAGCAACATTTGGCAACAGTCATTGAAGATCAAGCAGGAAATAAGGTATCAAATTTATTTGATATCATTATTTTATTATCATATTATGACTTTGGTTTAATTCTACCAAGAGCAACAGAGAGCATAGGCATCATCTTCTACAAGGTAGGTACAGAAAAAAAATTAAAAGACATAACCTGCCCTTATACAGTTGAATGTGGACTTGAAGTGCATTTCATCGCAAGCTGCCAGTAGTTACACAATACAGTCTTCCAGTCATGTGGCTTGCCACATATCACCTCAGTCTGTGGTTTATATATAGAAATCTCATCCATTGACAGATATAATTTCTGTTTCATTATAATTATATGTTACAGTAGCTGATATATAACTGGTAATAGGCTAGCAGTCTAAACCTGAATATTTAGAGTGAAGACAGTAGATCTAGAGCTACAGTAAATATAACAGTTAGACCCCATTCCCAGAGATTAGATCGATCCAACTAGATCGACCTAACTCCCTGGGGGTTCACGCTAAATATCTGTCAGCCGAGTGGGCACGAAAGTTAATTACCCCCTTACAGCTTGTAGTAGGCAGGCCGGACATTTAAGCCAGATTATCTGACAGTAATCTAGGTAGATTCCCCTTGGGGATAGATCGATCTAAAATCTATGAGAATGCGCCCTTATAGTCTAGCTAGACTGGTGTAAAATATTGCACTACAATATAGACTTAAGAACATTAGGTAGACTATAAACATAGTCACTGGGTAGACCTCGGTGAATAGGAGCATAAAACATAGAACCTAGGTGGATAGGGGCTCCAAATGGACTTACCAGCATATAGTACAAGCCCTGAGTTTGGATTTAGTTTGTGGTATACACAGATCTCAGCTTCCCCCATGTATTCTGATGACGTGGCACTGTGATATATATAATACCTATTGTGTGATTGCACTTCATGATAATTGACCAGCTGATGTCCAGCCTGCGCGCATTCTGACCAGTTGGCCTGTCACAATACAAACTATAAATATGAATATACATGTATATAAAGGGATGCATACGAGGCCAGATTACCTACCAATGGCACTAATAGGTTTATTCAATTCATGATGGAGGTCTGTTAGGTTAAACAGCTGTGGTAATGCTCTTTTGCATGCTTTAGGTCATTAAAAACCTTGATGATATTTTAGATTCAAAGCATGTTTTAAGTTGCTCATGGTCACTTAATATCTGAGTGACATTTGAGAAGCAAAGATACCCTGTTTTAATTTAATGGGGTCACTTAATACCTTGGTTACTATTTAAGAATCAAAGCCAGACATGTTTTAAGTTAACTGGGTCACTTAAAACTGTGATGGCATTTTAAATCAACAGATATGTGTGTTAATTAATCTTCAAGTTGGCACTTGCTACTATTTGACATTTTAAAGTCAAAGACAGACATGTTTTACATTCCAAGGGCCCCTTGCTTTTACTTGATGACAGTTTAGAATCAAGAAAAAACTTGCTTTAGGTTACTTAATAATTGGGGCACACTATAAATACCCTGGTGACCAAATAAGGCAGACATATTTCCATTAAATGGGGTCACTTGATAGCTTGGTGGACATTTTAGAATCAAAGACATACATAGTTTAAGTTAATTGGGTCACTACTCACCTTGACCCTGCAACTTAAAATCAAAGACAAGCGTGACTCTCAAACAGATGATTCCCTCTGATGGATGAGTATTTGTAAAATTTACATCTCAGACGGCTGATTGCTTTTGATGGATTGGTATTTGTATCATTTAGATTAATACTGGATATTTCAGAGCATATTTCTGGCCACTGTGTGCAGATTTTGTGTACAAATGTGGGTGTAGGTCGGTACAGCAAACAGCTGACTGCTGAAAACTATTGTAGCAGTCCTATGGGAATAAGGTATGTTCATATGCAGATACATGTATATAAATGTACATATGTACAATAAGTATTCTCAGTGTGAAGATACATGTATTTATGGGAAGGTATGTTCATATACAGATATATATTAACACGTACATACACTGTATATTATCAGTGTGCATATATACATGTGTATAGATTCTTATGTGTGGAAGTTATATATACAAACTTGTTCAAGTAGTATACACATTAACATCAGTTATAGAGTATTTGCAATTTCAAGTCTGTTGAGCATCTTTGACAACTCTACCTGTATGTCTGCTTATAGATAGGTATAAAGTGAC